TGAGACAGTGGGTAGAATCTTCTACTTGAATCTCAGCTCTGCTACTTGTCTTATGGCATCAGTCAACTCAATCAAACTTGCTTAACATTAACTCAGTTTTCTTTGACCAGGGATCATAGCATTTACATTGCCTATCTCGCAGAATCACAGTGTCAGAAGGCACCTAAGCAAACATTTCATCCAACTCATCCCTGAACTTAAGAGATGTCATAAGGAAAGCACTTTATAAACTGTAACCTGCCATAGAAACTATAATTTTAAGCTCTTTATGCACTAGGAACTACATATTTTTTTACTTATTGTATTTATAACACTATTCACAGCAGTAGGGTAAGCCACAGTATAGCAGAGCTGAAATAGATCTTTTAATAGAACTTAGCAGAATGTGAAATTTCAAAGCTGGAAGAAACTTAGGAACATAGGTAAAAAGGATTCAGCTAGAATAAATGGCAGAGCTGCAGGGGACTTTAGGATAGAATGTTAGTACATCAAATCTATAAGAAACCTTAGAGAAAAACACTAATGTTTCAAATGAGAAAACTAAAGCACAAAGAGGGGTAGTGATTTATGCAAATCACACAGGTAGTAAGAAGAGCTGGAACTAGAATCCAGATCTTTGGATTCTAATCCAGCACTCTGTCCACTTAATACAATGTTTGTTGTCTCTCTTGAAAAAATATTTCACTTCAGAAGTTCCTAGTTGCCACCCATTGTCTACTTATCATGGCACCTTTTTTAAATATTATTCCATTCTTTTTCTTTATTTTAATGTTCTGGTTTTGTTTCACTGTATTTTGGGGTTTTTCAAAAACTAGACTGTAAAATCATCTGGGGCAAGATGTATCTTTTTTTAGAGAGTAAAATGGAACAAAGAAACAAAACCATCTTGGTGTTTTAAAACTGTGATATGTGTACTTCAATGTAATTTGATTTTGTTTTAATTATTACATGATCACATTGAATGCATGTATATATAGGAATCGTAAGAAAAGGTATCTTTGTCATTTTAGCCACAGGCTGTGCTAGGAGCACCATTCTTTCCAAGACTGGTTTATTTCTCATGGCATTCCTCCACTGCCTTTTCTTTGAGTCTTACTTCCTTTTTCTTCCTGCCATTCTTAGCTTTCTGTTTTTCAGCCTGAGTTTATGGAAGGGTGTGTATTCAAAAGGGTTTCCTCCTGTTCCCAGTGCCCTGCTAATGCTGAGAAGTTACCCAGCAGGCCAATTCTCACAGCAAGGGATAAAAATAGTCCACAAGAAAAAAAGGTTACACAATGTGGGGTTGCAGGGGTTTGTACTAACCCAGCATCTTTCAAAGCCAGGATTAGGGGAAGAAAAAACATGGCCTAACATTATCATTTCCTTGGATTTTTCCCTGCACAAACTGTTTACCGGCAGCCTTAACAGATGTGAAGTACAGCACCAGGAAACAAGTGAGCCTCTCTGTTCTTTTGGTCACGCACACTAAAGAGACATCAGGAACAGGGCACAGTGAAAATAACTCACTAGGAATTATCTAAACAATATGAAAGGAGTATAGCCTTGTTGCTTCAATTGGTGATTTCGGTTGCCCTTCCTATGTGGACACTTAACAAGTTTAATCTTTAACTTCACTGATGGTTGAAATATTATTACTGATACTCTTAGACTATAAGTTCCGTGTGGGCAGGGCCTATGTAGAAAGAATATATTATAACTTGGAATGTTAGAGGTGAAAGGGACTTTGGAGAATCCCAGTATTTCCTAAATGGCATAACTGAAACCCAATTGAAAAGACAATACTTGACCCAAAGGAGATTACAGGCTTATTTATATTTCCCACATTTATACAACCTAGTTTTAAACAATCTTTTGTTAAGCACCTGTAGTATTCCAGGCCTTGTGCTAGACCCTACCAGAGGTAAAACTGACAAGGCACTCATGTCCCATCTGAGGAAATATGTGCACTAATAAGTAAATAATAAAAGTAATTGTCATTGAGGGAAGGAAGCAGTAGTGGCCAGTGGGGGCCAAGAGGGAAGGCAGTCAGGAAAGATGTAGAAAGTGGCACTTGAGCTGACCTTAAGAGGTGGGGGTGATGCAGAAGGTAAAAAGGAACAAAACTAGGGTGGTGGTTGTGTGAGGAGGGAGAAGGGAACAGATGGAAAGATACAGAAGTTGACTTGACTGAATTTGACAACTGACTGGGTATGTAGTGTGAGACAGAATGAAGACTTGAAGATGACTCTGAAGTTACAAATCCACCGTACCAGAAAGATGGTGGTACCCTTGACCTAGGAAAGTTATTCCAGCCAGACTGTACTACTTTGTTGTTTCCTGATCTTATTCTGCTCTTTCTCCCACTTTGTACATTTGCAAAAATCTCAGTGCTGGTTAAAAATCCTTTCCTTCCTTTGAAATTCAGCTTGAAGCGCTACTCTCCTATATAAAGATTTATGTGAACCTACATCACCAAGTGATCCCTCCTTCCTCGGTCTCTCATGCCTCCTTGTTTGGCTATGCCTTTGCACTTAGATAGAATGACTCTTGAAGTCAGAAATTGTCATTTTTTTGTCCTTATTTGCATAGTACCTAGCACTGTGCCTTGTGCATAGGAAGAGCTTAATAAATGTTCCTTCATTCAACAGCTCATAAGTTCAGGACTTAGAAACTCAAGGCAATACAGAGATAAATAAGATGCAATCCCTACCCTTAAAAAGAGAACAATATAATGGAGGTAGGACATAAATAAAATTCATTTCAGAATATGATGAATGACTACAAGGAGTATAAAGTGCTATTCAGCAGCATGCTGAATACATGAAGAATTACAGTAAGGAATTTGGGGGGCTCTTTTACTTCTTGGTCATATGGTAAATGAAAGAATCAAAGATGTTAAATTTCTTAGAGGAAGAGTAGCCTGTTAAGTATCATATTTTCTCTCATCTCTTTGTTCTTGTCTCATTTCCCTGTGTGTCAGTGAAAGTTAGTTAAAATTGATTTATTCTGTTTCTTTGCTTATGCCCTGGCTGAATAAAGTATGTCACCCATAATATTAATATTTTTTATGCTTTTTAAATAGCTAACAGTCTTAAATAAGTACACTTCTGAAGACCTTTTTCTTCCTTTTCTTTTAGGGCCATTTTGTATCATTGTGTTAAATTGGTATTATTCCCACTTTACAGATAAGGAGACTGAAACCATTATTGGTTAAATAACTTGTCCAAGATCATAAACTAGTAACTAAAAAAATCCAGAGCTCAAAGCCAGGTCTTTTGCCTCTAAGTCTAGTGTTTGTTTTGCTATATCATGCTCTTCTCTCTTCACCCTCCTGCTTCTAAAAATGTATAAATTACCACAGTGATACCAGGAGTCATATACAAAGAAAGCGTTTGTAAGATATTCAGAATAACCTTGAAAATAAACACAGAAAAATTACCACTTCTACAGATTTTTCTTAGCTTGCCTTCCCTTCACATTCACCATTTTAGATTATACTGAAAGGAAATCACATGAAATCCCATAGTGTTTTACACTAACCCACCTGTAAATTATTTCTGAGCCTACAAGAACATTCCTAGCAAAGCCAGTGGAAAGTGTCGCCCTACCTTAACCCTTTAAAGTTTACAAGTCATTTTCCTCGTAACAGTATGAGGCAAATATTCCTAGTGTTATCTGCATTTTATAGATGAATAAGTTAAGACTAATGTCAAGTCACTTCATGTTGGAACAGGATTTTGGGGTGCATTTTGAGTACAGGATGAAGTCATAAGGGAAGATAAATTTTGTGGTCTTTTCAGAGAGATTGCAAAGCAATGAAATGATAAAGTAAAACGCCACATTTCTGAGCTTCAGCAGGCACTTGACATGATTAGATACATACATACATATACATATATACATATACACATATATATATGTATACATACTGCATAAAGGAACAAATGTTAACGCTACCAAGATGCCCAATAAATCTTATGGAGGGATGGATACTGACATTTGTTACATTTCATTTAAAACTAGAGTGGGGATAGCTAACGCTCTCAGGAGTTTGACTCCTTTGGCCAAAACAGAAAAATTTCATCTTAATCTTTTCCCGTATCCTGTTTGGGCTGAGTCCCTCTGGCATTCAGCACTTCAGTTTCCACAGTGAGCAGATTGCTATCTGTGAGCAGATCTTCATTTTTTACCATGTTTGCCTTTAGGACACTCAAGAGTCAACCTTCCCATGTACAAGCCTTGGTATAATGGGCCTTGTGCCAGGGGGTCACTTAAATCACCATGGATCCAATTGCCCAGCCTCTCCACCCCCACTCCACTGATCTTGGCAACTGCAGGCAGTAAGGGAGAACAAACCTTTTCTGACATGAATATGCTGACTGTTCACCTCTTCCCTTGAGACATTAGGTTAGGTTAATTCCTATGGGAAATTTGTTTTGGAAAGCTCCTTTTCCCTCATGAAAACCAAAAGGTCATCAGTTCTTCTCTTTTTTAGAAACAGCACTTCCTTGCTGTGGGGATATGGGACATGGCACAGTATTGGGCAGCACAGGCGTTAATGCTATTTTCGTGAAAGGGTTGGTCTATCACAACTTCTGCTGATTCTAGAATTCTCAGACAGGACACTGGCCGTAAACCGTTTGTCAAAGTCCTTCACTTAAAGAACTCCAGTGCTTCATGCTGATGCAGATGAGACCTGGAACTCTATGCCAATAGAGTGTAAGCTCTAAGTACTCTTACTAAGATGGAAAGCCGTAAAGGCCCCAGTGATGGATAATCCAAGGACCAGCCTAGCTGCATTTGGGCATTCTCAAACCAAGAGGATCATAGGTTGATAAATTTTTCAGGAACTGCATCTCTCCATCTACCAAGTTGTAGAGGGATTGTGGTGGGAGTACACATACTGATGGAAAAACAGTTCAATGAAGCAACCTCAGAAAGGGCCCACAAATTAGCAATTTGCAAGCCATACCATTTGATTGCTTAATAATGAAAACTTTTTCTGTTTTGTATTTCCACAGGAATCTCCCCAGGACAGTGCTATCACTAGGGATATTAACCGTACATTCCCGGCTCATGACTACTTTAAGGACACAGGAGGAGATGGCCAAGATTCCTTATATAAAATATGCAAGGTAAACAGGTATTTTTGTTTGTTTGTTTTTCAATTTTTAGTGGGTTTAGGTACTTCCAAATTGGGACCTCAGTTTCATATTAAATTTTGAGAAATCACGGCTACAAATTGTGGTAGAGGATCTCAGTAATAGGGAGCCAACTCTTTGGAAATAGTTCTTTATTTTAATCATGAATCTTTAGGTAGCAATGGAAGTAAAGACAAGAGGAATACCTGTTTAAACTACTTTTAAAATACAAAACATTACGAGCAAATTGTCATTTTTTTTCCTCTGTGATCTAAATACCTTGTCTGACTAGAGCATTTCAGAATTCAAGTCGTTCCCTGTTCCATATCTACATTTAGAAATCTTCCTGAATTTCAAAAAATTTAAAGTAGAAAGAGATCTTAGGGATCATCAAGTCCAGTACGTCTTCAGATGAGGAAACTGAGGCTCAGCAAGGTAAAGTGACAAAATGAAGGTGTGGTTGCTGAGTGCCTCACATGGTACACTCTAGGGTAGCAGCTGCCAGGCTTCACTTCATTCCTGGCCTTCTTGACAGCCATCTTGCTGTTGCCCTCCCTCCTCACTAACAGTTCTGAAATCATAATCAAGTCCATACTGCCACTGTTACTAGAAAAGATATATCGGTCAGTGGTCAGTCTGTGGTTCCACCTGCCATCCATGTAATTTTCTAATCCAAAATGCCCTTCTCTGGCCACCACTCCTTATTCGTATTGTCTTCCCCTATTAGAATGTCAGCTTCTTTTTTTTTTTTTTTTTTTTTTTTTTGCTTAGGCAGTTGGGGTTAAGTGAGTTGCCCAGGGTCACACAGCTAGTAAGTGTCAAGTGTTTGGTCTGAGGCTGGATTTGGACTCAGGTCCTCCTGACTTCAGGGCCGGCACTCTATCCACTGCGCCACCTAGCTGCCCCAGAATGTCAGCTTCTTGAGAACAAGAACTGTCTTTGCTTTTGTATTTGTATCCCCTGAACTTAGCACAGTGCTAGCTAGCCCCTGGTAAACACTAAATAAATACTTTATTATTCATTCATTGCCCAAGGTAAGACAGCTACTAAATAGCATAGTGGATATTCAAAGCCCTCTCTCAATCAATATCCAGAGCTTTTTCCAGTAGATGATGAATTCTTAAGAAATCTTTTATATCTCAGAAGCTTCATTTTATTGACAGCTTATGAACTCCTTTGAAATGATTATTGTCTCTCTAGGTTTGTTAATTTAGCACCTTTACCCAAGATGTGGTAAATTAATCAAAAACAATTTATTAAGCTTTGCCAGGCTTTGTGCTAAGTGCTAGAGATACAAAGAAGAGTAAAAACAGCCCCTGCACTCAAATAACTTACAGTCTAATAGGGAAGACAAATAGATAGATATTTACAAAATGTAAATAAATAAGTACAAATGCAAATTACAAATAGCATTAAATGTTTATTTCTATAAAATGTCAAAAGCAGTGAAATGGGATAATAGTGTATTAAATTACAACAATTTTTAAAATAGTTTTGGGCACATTACCCCCTTTTGTTTACAATGAGTTTTATACTCTTTACTTTACATTTGAATCCATTTCCTGCACCATGTAAGGGTGGGAACAGAACACAGGTTTTCATCATTCTCACAACCAGAGAGAGTCGTGTTTTGATGCTTTTTTATTCTTTTCTTCATTTAGTTAGCAAGCCATTACTAGGCATTTTCTATGTGCTAGGCACTCTGGAGCAGCCAGGAAAAATAGGAATATTGCACTTTGGTTAGGGAAGCCAAGTGGTACAGTGGATAGATTGCCAAGCCTACAAATCCATATATACAAAACCTATATTTGCCTCAGTTTCTCTCATTTTGCTCATCTGTAAAATGAATGAAATAATAGCACCTACCTCCCAGGGTGGTTGTGAGGATCAAATGAAATAATAATTGTAAAGTGCTTTGCTCAGTGCCTGGCACGTAGGAAGCACTATATAAATGTTAGTTATTATTAGTAGTATTTATTATTATTATCCTCTCATTTTCATCTCACATTACTTAGATGCCTTCTGCCACCCTTTCCTCTTTTACCCCTGTTTCTCATGAAGAGTTAGCCCTTCTCCTTGCCAAGGCCAACCCCTCTCTATGTACCGTTAATGTCATTCTCTAGCACATTGTCCCCTTTATCATCCTCACTTTCCCACTTATCTTCACTCAGTCTCCCTGTCTGCTGATTGCTTCTCTGTTTACAAACATGCCCTTGTCTCTTCCTTCCCCCAAAACCCCACACTTGACCTATCCATCTCCATTAGCTATTATCATATATTTCTCCTCCTTTTTGTGGCTAAACTACTTTAGGAGGCCATCTACAAAAATACCTCCACTTTTTCTCTTCTCACTTTCCCCTTAATTCTCAACAGTCTGACTTCTGATCTCATCATTCAATTAAAATTGCTATTTCCAAAATTACTAATGCTCTGTTAAATGCTAAATCTAGTGACCTTATCTCAGTTTTCATTTTTTTTAATTTGTTTATTTTTAGTTTTCAACATTCACTTCCATAAGATTTTAAGCTCCAAATTTTCTCCCCTTTCCTCCCCTCCCCCTACCCCAAGACAGCATGCAATTTGATATAGGCTCTACATATACGTTCATATTAAACCTATCTTCACATTAGTCACATTCATCATCTCATGCCTGGACTATGCAATAGCCCGCTCTTGGTCTGCCTGTTACAAGTCTTTCCCTACTCCAGTCCATCCTCCGCTGAGCTGTCAGTTAGTAAAGAAGGATTAGAACCAATGGGAGGAACCAAGGAAAAGAACAAACAAAACAAAAAAGGCAAATAATAGGCTTCTATCAGCTTTCAGACTCTATAGTTCTTTTTCCGGATGTGGATATCATTTTCCATCATGAATCTTTTGGAGTTGTCTTAGATCCTTGTACATGTGGGTCCTTTTCCCTTTTTTATGGTCTCTTTGGGATACAGGCCTAGAAGTGGTATTGCTGGGTCAAAAGGTATGCACATTTTTATAGCCCTTTAGGCATAGTTCCAAATTGGTCTCCAGAATGGTTGGATCAGTTCACAACTCTACCAACAATGCATTAGTGTTCCAATATTCCCACATCTTCTCCAACATTTATCATTTTCCTGTTTTGTCATGTTAGCCAGTCTGATAGGTGTGATGTGGTACCTCTGAGTTGTTTTGATTTGCATTTCTCTAATCAATAGTGATTTAGAGCATTTTTTCATATGACTGTAGATAGCTTTAATTTCTTCTTCTGAAAACTGCCTGTTCATATCCTTTGACCATTTATCAATTGGGGAATGACTTGTATTCTTATAAAGTTGACTCAGTTCTCTATATATTTTAGAAATGAGACCTTTATCAGAGACATTGGTTGTAAAAATTCTTTCCCAGATTTCTGCTTCCCTTCTAATCTTGATTGCATTGGCTTTCTTTGTGCAAAAACTTTCAATTTAATGTAATCAAAATTATCCATTTTGCATTTCATAATGTCCTCTATTTCTTGTTTGGTCATAAATTCTTCTATTCTCTGTAGGTCTGACAGGTAAATTGTTCCTTGCTGTCTCATTTTGCTTATAGTATCTCAGTTCCCATTCTTTTTGACCTTTCTGCAGCCTTTAACACTGTCAGTCAACCTCTTGTAATATTTTCTTCTCTCTAGATTTTGTGACACTATCCTCTCCTAGTTCTCTTTCTTCCTCCTTGACCACTCTTTCTCAGTCTCCTTTGCTGGTTCTTGATCTAATTCACACCCACTAACCATCGGTGTTAGGGCAAACTAAGTGACACAGTGGATAGACCACTGGGCTTGGAATCAGGAAGACATCCTCCTGAGTTCATATCTGGCCTTAGACATTTACTAGCTGTGTCACCCCAGGCAAGTTACTTAACCCAGTTTGCCTCAATTTCCTCATCTGTAAAATGAGCTGGAGAAGGAAATGGTAAACCACTCCACTATCTTTGCCAAGAAAACCCCAAATGGGGCCATGAAGAGTCAGACACAACTGAAAACAACTGAACAACAACAAACCATGGGTGTCCCTCTGAGCTTTATCCTGGACCCTTTTCTCTTCTCCTCTTCTGTTTCACTCTCTGACCTTATCAGTTCACATGGATTCAATTATCATCTTTCTGCTAATGATTCTCATATCTACTTATCTAGCCCTAACTTCTCCTGATCTTCAATCTTGTGTAACTTGTTTGTCTATTGGACATCTCAAATCAGATGTTCTATAGACATCTTAAACTCGACATGATTAAAACTGACCTCATCTTTCCTCCTAAATCTTCCCCTCTTCCTTATTTCCCTATTACTCTTAAGGGTACCACTATCGCCCCAAGCACCAAGGCTCACAATCGAGGTGTACCTACTTGTTGTCCTCACCTTCTCACTCTCTCATCCCTCCCCCCATATTCAGTCTGTTGCCAAATCATGTCAATCTTGCCCTTGTAACCTCTCTCCTCCTCTGACATTGCCACCACCTTGATACAGGCCTTCATCACCTCATGCTTGGACTCTGTGATAGCCTGCTCTTGGTCTGCCTGCTGCAAGTCTTTCCCTACTCCAGTCCATCCTCCACTGAGCTGTCAAAACATGATCTTCCTGAAGCATAGGTCATCCTAAAGGCATGTCATTCCTCTACTTAATAAACTCCAGTGGTTCCTTGTCACCTACAGGATCAAATGTAAAATCTTCTACACAGCTGTTCCTAACCTGCCCACCCCCATGTACTTTGCAGTTATCAGTGACACTGGTCTCTTGTTCTTCAAACAAAACATTCCTGTCTCCTGACTCCAGGCATTTTCTCTGGCTGTCCCTCCTGTCTGAAATGTTCTCCCTCCTCATCTAGCTCTTGGCTTCTTTCAAATCTCAGCTAAAATTTCACCTTCTACAGGATGCCTTTCCTGATCCCCCTTAATTCTAGTGCGTTCTCTCTGTTGCTTATTTCATATTTATCTTGCATATATGCCTTGTTTGTACGTAGTTTGTATGCTTTGTCTTGTCCATTACTCTGAATTCCTTGAGAGCAAAGACTGTTTTTTACCATTCTTTGTAAACTTCAACACTTAGCACGGTGCCTGGCACACAGTATGCAGTTAATAAATGCTTATTTACTGACTGACTGATAAGCACACAGATGTCCATGCAAAGTACGGTGGGAAAGGTGAAAAGGGAGAGATACTTTCTAGTCAAGGAAGACTTCATGGAGAAGATGACTTCTAGTGTGAACTTTGAAGGAAGAGAATGGATTTCCACAAATAGCAAAAAAATTTATCAAGGTTCTCTTAAATGTTGAATTGTATGATACAAATTGTTTTGTTACAGGTGATCAAACTAGAGTTTTTTTTACTTTTAATCTCTTCATCAGATGCTTAAGATTGTCATTTCTATCATATTCTTCTTTTCTAATCAGCCAGTCTTCTCTTTCCTCTATCTTATACTGTTACAGTTATCAATTCTCTGGCCACTTTTCCAGAAAAAGGATTATTAAGAATTCACCAAACAAGAAACAAAAACATTAGAGTGTCACATTAATCTATACTGTCATTTGTTAGCATACAGACACAATTTCTCCTGTTGTACCTCATCAGATTGATCAGTAAGGCTACTGATATGGGGAAAAAATACTGGATTTAGAGTGAAACACTCAGTGTCTAATCTCTCCTGTTGCATTGTAAGTACCTTGAAGCCAAGGATTGTTGCCATTTTTCACGTTTGAATACTCAGCATCTAGCACATAACAAGTGGCTTCATACGTGGTAAACGGAAACAAATTCAATTCACTCCACATTTATTAAGCACCCACTGTGTGTCAGTCACAGAGTGCTAGCTAGGAATACAGAGACAAAAATGAAACAGGCCCTATGTACAGGGAGTTCACGTTTTACAGGGGAAATACATTATGGACACAAGTAAATAAATGTGGAGTAAAATTTGAGTCTTTTCACGGAGGAAAGAGTGCCAACACTGGGTGATCAGGAAAAACCTCAGGTAGGAGTTGGCAGCTGAGTGCGAGAAAAGTGCTTCTAAACCACAAAGCACCAAATCAGGAGGCAGATATTTGATTTTTGAGCAATTCAGTACTAGTATTTAATACATAACTCCTAAATTTATGTAACCAGATTGTGAAAATTTTGGTCCCAACCTCTGGAAGTACAATTATGATGTAATAGAAAAAAGCTTGTATGCAATTTAATCACATGTTAAACTTTCAAACCCAATTGAGTTTTTCTTAAAACTAATATTATTTTATTTATTTATTTATTTTTGGTAAGACAGTTGGGGTTAAGTGACTTGCCTGGGGTCACACAGCTAGTGTCAATTGTATGAGGTCAGATTTGAACTCAGGTCCTCCTGACTCCAGGGCCGGTGCTCTATCTACTGTGCCACCTAGCTGCCCCTAAAACTAATTTTTTATTAGCACTCTCATCAAACAATGAATCTTATTCTGGGAGTTCTAAAACATATTCAGACATATTCATCCCAGATTGCTTTATTGGAATTGGAAGGATCCTGGTAAGCGTAAGTGGAAAAATAAGAAGGAAGGGATCCAGGGGAGCTTCCCTAGAAATGAATTTATGCTTCTCAGCAACACAAGAATCTAAGATATTTCCAAAAGTCTCATGAAGGAAAATGCCATTCATATCCAGAAAAAGAAGTCTGAATGCAGATCAAAGCATACTATTTGTTCTTTTTTTTCTTCTGTTTTGTTGTGTTTCTTCTTTCTTGTGGTTCCTCCTATTGGTTCTAATTTTCTTTAAAATATGACTAAGGTGGAAATATGTTTCATAGGAATGTATATGTAATGAGCCTGTATCAGATTACACACCATCTTGGGGAGGAAGGCAGGGAGGGAGAGCTTTAAATTTAAAATTCAAAAGCTTATGGAAGCAAATGTTGAAAACTACAAATAAATTAATTTTAAAAAAGAAATAGATTTATTAAACAGGGAAAAAAACATCTCAAATCTATATGAAATCCCTTTTTACAAGAGCTGACATGAAAACTCAAAAAAAAATTTTTTTATGGAGCCCTGAAAAGGCCCAAAAAGCCAAAAACTAAATCCTGAGAAATGCTGGGTGTCTATATACTTTAGAAGAGAAGGATCTGAGAAGATGGGTAAGGAAAGAATAACAGCCAGTCAAACCTATAAAAATGATATTTTCAGAAAAATCACTCTCATCAAAAAAACCCTATAAATATGATATTTTCAGAAAAATCACTCTCATCAAAAAATGTATTACTGTGGGAGTTGGATATGACTGTGCCCCTCCTGCCCCTCATAGTAAGAAAACTAAATCAGCTTTACTGAGCTTCTCTATCTCTGGTGTGGTGTTTGATGCTCATCAGCTCTCAGTGAGCAGGGCAGGAATAGGTCAAGGATCCATGTTAGATCATTATAATTAGCTCTCTGAGGAGGGTAATGAATCCTTTCCTCTGACTGGACTGAATTTCCTCATCTGTAAAAATGTTGTTGGATTGGATGATGTCTCGGGGCCCTCCCAGCTCCTACTGACAGGCTAAGAGAAGGCTGAGCTGGGCAGGATGACGCTTTGTGTCCTTCCCCTGCTTCCCACTCTCTGAGCCAGCTACATTGCTCACAGGCAGGTCCAATTGCTTTCCTTGATATGTGAGTGATTTGGCATATTAAAATCTGTGTTCTTTTTCCAGGCCTATTCTGTATATGATGAAGAGATCGGCTACTGTCAGGGCCAGTCGTTCCTTGCTGCTGTGTTACTTCTGCACGTAGGTGACCAGTGTTTCTCTCTTCCAACACGCAGCCCATTCACTCACAAACATTAAGTACTGATTATTTGATAACTTGCGTTAGGTCCAGGAGGAGATGCAAAGATAACTAAGCCTCCTGACCTCATGGAGCTTACAGTCTAACAGAAAGGAGAAAATAGATGCAGTGAGGTGGCTCAGTGGATAGCGCACCAAACCTGGAATCAGGAAACTCTGAGTTCAGAGCCAGCCTCAGACGCTTACTAGCAGTGTGACCCTAGGCAAGTCACTTTACTGTTCTTGATCTCCATTTCTTCTTCTATAAAGTGGAAATAATAATAGCACCTACCTCCTAGGATTATTGTCAAGACCAAATATGACATGGATTGTAAAGCACTTAGCACAATGCCTGGTACACAGTAAGCACTGTATAAATATTAGCTATTATTATGCCCCAATGCACAAAAACTAACCATTAGCTGTAATGCAAAATATGGTATCATAAAAGCATAAGAAAGGTATAGAATACCTTGCGAAGATAAATCATTTCTGACTGGCAAAACAAGGAAAGACTTCCTGCAAGAAGCAACATTTGATCTGGGACTTGGAAGATGAGTAGGATTTCAAAAGGCATAGATTTGGGAGCGTTGGGAAGTATGTTTTAGACGTGTAATGGTATGACTAAGAACGTAGGAAAGGGCTTGATGTATACATGGTACAAAAAGCAGTCCCGTTTAACTAGGTTATAACCTTCATGGTGGGGAGTGGTGCTAGATGAAGCTGAAAAAGTAGAGAGGTGTCAGATTTGATAGGGCCTTGAATGCCAGGTTGAATTTACCAAACACAGTGTACCTATATAAACTTAGTCTGGTTTTTGTACTTCTGTGTGTTTTTTTTTTCTTGAATTTGGCAGAAGTAAACAGTATCTGTTTCACACCACTGTCAATAAAGTTTTCCATAAAATTTACTTACATAATCACTTCCATGTCGATAAGGCAGCCAGGAAATCTGTTTGAACTTTGTCCTTATGACTGATAGCCTCTGACAGACTTTAAAAAGGAAAGAATAGTTACAGGCACAGGAAATTCCAGGGATGTAAAATTTAGAACTAGAAGGTACCTTAGAGCTCAAAGAATCCAATCTCTTCTTTTTACAAAAGAGGTAACTGAGGCTGAAAGAGAGAGAGTGACTTGTCCAAGGACATACACAGCTAGGAAGTAGCAAGAGCCAGGATTCAAATTCAGCTCATCTGACTCCCAGTCTTCTTTTTCCTGCTCTTCTCACCTTTACAGTTGTCATCAGATTTCAGGGTTTTCACAAGGTTATCTTGATTGATTTGTTCTTAGCATTGGGCCTCATAATTTTTTTTTCTAAAATAAGAGATGCAGTAATCATGGTCCCTTTATGAAACAGGTGGATAGTTAGGTCCCTAACCATAATTTATGGGTTTTGATTATTGAAATCTCTGGGAGGATGCTGGTGCTTGCCACATTGGCTATGTGGATGATGTCAGCTCTCTTGCAGTGTCATCACTTAAATTAATGCCAAGTCTTACTCCTGAGTTTATTGAGTTTATTGAGGTAGAGTATATCACATTCCTCTGCCTTTGGAATTCTAACCCTTCCTTTAAAATGCTACTCCCATCCTGCCTCGCCAGAACTCTTCCCTAATCCTCTACATTAACCTTCCCTCTTCACCTCAGACAGCACTTCATCCTATTCCTCTGTAATAAAAGCACCTGCTGTGTCCTCATTTGATTCTCACTATGCACTTAGTGTGTGATGTTGTGTGTTTCATGATGGCACCCTGAGGTTAGGAAGTTTGTCTTATCTAAGCTTTGGACCTCTTCTCACTCACACCAAGAACAGTGCATGCAGTAGAGATATTTAATAAGTGTTTGTGGAATGGTCAGTCATTCACATAGAAATGTCATACTAGGTCAGGCCTCTCTCTCCAACCCTAAGGAGCAGAGTACTATAGAAAGAAAGAGCTCTAGGTTTAAAGTCTAGAGATCTGGGTTCAAGTTTCTCCTTTCCCACTTACTAGCCATGTGAAAATGTCCAAGTCTTTTCTACTCTAATCCTTAGTTTTCTTATCTGCTGAAAGGAGAGGATACATTTCCCTAGTCTATCTCCCAGGATCGTTTGGGGTTTTTTTATGTGGTTTAAAATATGAAGAACATGCAAGTGTGAACCATTGTTATTAATATCATTAGACTTTGTATAACAGTGTGGGCCCTTTACAGAGAGAGGATAGATGGGCTCTCTCAATATAGCCCTCCACACAATAACCCAATAGAAGTCTTTTAGCTGTTACTTTACCTAACACTTCTTGAATATATTTCCAATGATTTCCTTACTCATCTTCTGCTACCTTCCTCACTTTTTTGAGAGATTGATACTGTAATAATACGGAGTCCTAAATGTAAAATTTCCAGTGCTTTAAAACGGCAACAACAACCAGAAGCAACAACTATTTTGCCAGGTTCACAAGCAAGTACTTTTCCATCACATTCTGGAGTATGTACATAAATGTTGCCATTTATAAACAAAACTCAAGTAAGATTTTTGTAGTAGTTTAATTACAATATAATTGTCATTCATTAGTAAGGCATACAATCTCCAGCTAGTTATGTCTTTTCTGGTTAGTTGAGAGAAAAGTTAACATTTTTAACATTAAGGAAACTAGAGTGGATTAGATGCTTGATGTGATAAGGGACAGCTCAGCATAAAAAGAAAAATACTAGATCAAGAATCAAGAGACTGAGGTTCTAGTTCCAACTTTGCTATTGTTTTGTTCTATTAAGTTCTATTTTTTTGTTTCTAGTGAGGCAATCAGGGTTAAGTAACTTGCCCAGGATCACACAGCTAATAAGTGTCAAGTGTCTGAGACCAGATTTGAACTCAGGGCCTCTTGACTCCAGGGCTGGTGCTCTATCTACTATGCCACCTAGCTGCCTCTATTTAGTTCTTTAAATCCCTATAGAATATGCCTTAAGCAAGTCATTTCTGTTTTCTGGACCTCAATTCCCCCTCCATAAAATGAAAGATGTGAAGTTAAATCATCTCTAGGGTCACTTGGAAATTATAAAGTCCCTTTCTGCCCTGGCATTCTTTTGAGTTGATTAGTTTTAAAATGACAAATTCTATTCTCCGTGTCTTATCCTCATTCCAACAAATGAACAGAAAAACAAATAGAATTGACAACATAGTGCTAGCTCTTCACAGCATTGGGGTTTAATGTTGCCTCTTTGGCTCAAGGAGATGATGACTGAGTTTAAAGAAGAGACACTTGTTTTCTCTTGTCAGATCTGACACAAGATAGGAAATAAAAATGCAGATCTCTGTTGTTGTCTGCCCCTCTTCTTCCTGCTATCCAGATGAGGACAGGGAGGCATGAGCTTAATATATTGAAAAGAAAAACTGCTGTAAAATCTGTTTTCTTGTTTGTTTTGTCTTTTCTTTCATAGATGCCCGAGGAACAGGCTTTCAGTGTTCTGGTCAAAATCATGTTTGACTATGGGCTCAGGGAACTTTTCAAGCAAAACTTTGAAGATTTGCACTGCAAGTTTTACCAGTTGGAACGTCTCATGCAGGTATAGGGTCAAACTGTATTTAAGACATTATAAAGCCACTGTCCTTTTCCTTAGGCAGACCACATCTGCAGTATAATCCTCAGTTTGGAAGGGATAATATTAACAGCCCAGCACAAATTTAGGGAAGAGCAACCAAGATTTGAAAGGGACTGGAGCCTGTGCCGTACAGGTGGCAGGCAGTCCTGTGAAAGAGAGAACGAACAGAAAAACTGCTTGAGCTCAGAGAACAGAAGTAGGAACAATAGTTGGAAGTTACTGAAGGGGGCAATATAAGGCTCAATATAAGAAAAACTTCCAGATAACTAGAGATATCAAACAGTGAAATGAGTTGCGTTTATTTTTTAGTGAGTGCCCCATCCCTGAATGTTTTCTGTCAGAGGACAATCACTTTTTTATGAGAGAGGTTTGGAGTTGGACTAAATGACCTCTAGGGTCCCTTCCAACTCTTAAGTTTCTATAATTTGGGTAGGAGAAGAGCTGTGAGAGGATTTTACTTTTGTCATGCATTTCCACATGAAGTTAATTTTTCTTTTAATAGCTTTTTTGCATGTTAATAGTACAAAGGTTAATAAGGTATGACCCTGATGTGTGTGAACTGTCTCTATTTTCATAAATATCTCAAAGGTCAAATGATGTTCAGGGGACTTTATTACAATGAAATCAGTCAAGAAATATTGTTCACAGAGATGTTTGTTTTTTTCTGTTTGTGGTTCTTATACTGCAAATAAAGCTAGCTTTTCTAACCTGGTAGAGAAATATATTCTAACCTGGTAGAGAAAATGAATTTCTCAAATATTTGTCACTATTTGGGAGGGGCCTTTTCTTTGTGTTCAGAGCAAGCTCATAAATTGAATAGGAAGAGAATTGGCTTTGCTCCAATTGAATTCCAGATGCTATATTTTCTTCTCAGTGACTGTACTTGCTGCTTTGAAGGGGAAAAAAAAGAGACAGACAGAGAACTCTCATAAGTATGTGACTTTATTGTCTTCTTCCTAGCAGATTTAAAAGTGTTCAGAGTGTGAATCAACCGCTACATTCATCCAAAAAACTAATTAGTTTGCCATTTCAGGAATACATTCCCGACCTTTACAGCCACTTCCTGGATATAAGCCTTGAAGCACATATGTATGCTTCCCAGTGGTTTCTTACTCTCTTCACTGCGAAATTCCCTCTCTACATGGTCTTCCATATAATTGACCTGCTGTTGTGTGAGGTATGTATCAGTGACCACACAACTTTGCCTTTGTTTTACAGTCTTCTTCCCACCATTTCAAAGATAAATGGTTATCTTCTTGCTGTTATTCAGAGCTGGTAAATTGAGGTATAGCATATAGTTCCCCTGTGGCAAATATCCCCATTTTACAAATAACCTTAAGAAAATTATTTCTACGAACTCCAATATGCTTATCTGTAAAGTGGAGAGATTGGCCTAGCTGATCCTTTCCAATTCAGATATTCTGTAATTGTGTGACTTGTCCAAGATCTCCAAGTTAGTATGTGCAGAACTAACATTTTAAGCCAAAGCTAAGTCTGCTGGTCCTCCCTCTCCACCTTCCTGCCAGGGCCACATACAGTGCACTCTCCTAGGTCCCATGGTGAGAGAGGCTGTGGGGCAGACAGAGATGCATAAAACGTGCTTGGAATAAGCCAAGTAAGGGAGATGAGAAATTTATAAGATCATAGGAATTAGAGGGAAAGAGATCATATGTATCATTTTGTCCAATTTTACAGATGATCAAACTGAGGCTCAGGGAAGGGAATTCAGTGAGTTAATAGTCACCAGGCATCTAATTACTTACCATGCACCAGGCCCTGTGCTAAGTGTTGGAGATGCAATGAAAGGCAAAAACAATCTGCTTCAAGGAGCTTACACAGCCCTTTGACTCCAAATCCTGTTAAGCACTGGGGATATAAAGAAAGGCAAAACCAAAATGTACTCTGAGGGAGCTCACAGTCTAATTCAGGAGACTACATGTAAATGATTATGTACAAAAAACATACAGGATAAATTGGAGATAATCAGTGAGGGAAGTCACTAGCTTCCCCAGGGTGATCAGGAAAAGCCACAGGAGATGAATTTTAAGTGGCACTTGAAGGAAGACAAGGAAGCTAAGAGGTAGAGAAAAGGAAGAAGAGTGTTGCAGATGTAAGGACTAGCTGGTGAAAAGGTATGAACTTGGGACATAGTAGTACAGGGAACAGAAAGAATGTCACTGGATCATAGAGTATGTAGAAGTGAGTAAAGCATGAAGATGGGAAGGGGCATGGTTGTGAAGAGCTTTAAAAGCTAAACAGGATTTTATATTTGATCCTAGAGGTAATAGGGAGCCAGTCAATAAACATTTATTAAGCACCTACTGTATGTGCCAGGCACTGTGCCTGGTAATGAGTGTACAAAGCAAAAGACAGCTCATGCCTTCAAGGATCTCGTGATCTAATGGGGGAACACAGCACCTAAAAAGTGGGGGGAAGGAGAATACCCGGTACGGGGACATAGTGAAGATCTGCAGCCGTGGAGAATGTTGAGCTGTCTGCATTGGGCCACCTCCTTAAATGGAGGATCTGGGAGGATCTCCACTATCTACCCTCCACTCTTCCAGTCAGAGAGAGGGAGGGTTCTCAGGGTCAGGGAGTAATGAGAAGGAGGGAGTTTCAGAATAACAAAGGAGTTATTAGAGACTTTGGTGAAAACCAGGCACATCAGCTGGGTGGAAGATAAGGGACCCACTGGCATTTATTGAGTAGGTGAGTCACATGAGCTAAGCTTTAGGAAGATCATTTTGATAGGTAAGCAGAGCATGGACTAGACAGAGAGAGACTAGAGATTGGAGGCAGGGAGACCAACCAACAGGCTCTTGCAGTATGCATGTGTGAGGTGACAAAGGCCTTCACCAGACTGGTGGCTGTGTCAGAGGTGAGAAGGGGTTGTATTCAAGAGAGGTTTCGAAGGACTTGACAACAGATTTTATATATGGAGTAAGTGTGAGTCAAGAGTTGTTGAGAATGACACCTAGGTTACAAGCATGGATAAAAGTGAAATTAAGAAGGGAGGGTTTGGAGTTAGTTCTCTTTTGGACATTTTGAGTTTAAGATCCAATTTGAGATGTCCAAAGGCAAAAAGATGATATAAGATTGGAGATGAGAGAGTTTAGGACTGAATAAGTAAATCTGAGAAACACTGACTTAGAGATTATAATTTAATCCATGGGAGATAATGAGATCACGAGATGAAATAGTATAGAGGGAAAAGAGAAGAAAAGGCCATTGGATTTGGCCATTAAGGGATCATTGGTAACTTTGGAAAGAGCGGTTTTAGTTGAATGATGAGGCTGGAAGCCTGACTGTTGAGGATTTAGAATCAAGTGGGCAAGGGAAAGGACAAGGCAGGAGAGGAGGCACCTGTTATAGATAACTTTTTCGAAGAGTTTGACCATGAAAAGGAGGAGAGATATAGGACAGTGATTAGCAGTGAGATGCTGACTATTGTCAAAGTGAGGGGTTTTTAAGGATGGTGGAGATATAAGTGTGTTTGTAGGCAGGGAAGCAGCCTAATAAGTGTGTTTTAGGAAAACAGCCAGTAGAGAGGGTGAGATTGAGGTTTTGTGATAGAGGAAGCAATCTACTGGAGACGACAGAATGGAATAAGTGTAGAGGGGCTTGCCATGGCAAGGAGAAGAGCCGTCTCCTCATATGACACAGATGTAGGAGAAGATAGTAAGGGAAAATATCTGAGTAAATGTGGGGTGTGGAGGCGAAAAGAGGGAGCTCTAGGCTAATGGTGTCAGTTTTGCCTGAGATCACATAGAAAAAGCCAAAATTCAAATGCAGACTCCCAAGTTTAGTGCTTCTTTCCACTACAGTACACTGGCTGCTACTTTGTACTCTGCTAAATCCCAGAAGAAGACAAAAAATAAGACTTATTTCTTATCATGAAGGAATTTACAATCCAGTGTCTGGAGGGGTGGAAATTGAGGTGTTCATAAATAAATGAAATGTAAATTAGAATATGTAAATGTAGAAGAGGATTGTAAAGTCTTATGAGTTCACATAAGGGAGAAGTCCTTTCTAGATTGGGGGGCGGTAAGTAAAAGTTTCATAGAGGAGTCTTGAAGGATAGGTAGGATATCAGCAAACAAAGTGAAGAGAATGGCAAGAAGTATTCCTGGTATGGAGAACAATGCAAGCAAAGGCGAAGGAATTTCCTAGTCTCTCTTATTCAGTGATCCACACAAATTTGTCAGTTTCCCATCTCACTCAGAGAGGGAGGAGTGGGAAAAGCCATTCAGATGGACAGAAAGGTGGAGGGGTAGGTCTAGGCAAAAAGAGGAAGGTTTGTACACATGTAGGCCTTAAACAAAGTGGTTTCTTAACCACCACATGGATCTGATTGAAAGGCAATGTCGTATCCTGAAATGACCAGTGAAACTATAATGAAAAGATTTGAATTTCAATCTTAGCTCTAACAATACCTTTGTGCTTCTTGGATGAATCACTTTCCCCCTCTTGATCTCAGTTTCCTCATCTTTAAAATATACAGATCATTTCTAAGTTCCCTTACTCCTACAAAAGTCTGTGAATTGCTTTCCTTTTTTGATGGTCTGTTTGCTACTCTGTAACATCAGGATCATATTCACTTAAAAGAACTTTTGGGAGGAAAAGGTTTTATAAAAACTGGCAAAGATCATGGAAATGTCAGCTATCTGTTTTGGTTTTTACTTTTCTGATTTTTTTAATATCTTATTTTCACATCATGGTCATGTCCAGGTAATGCATCCTCCCTTATGACAAAATGCCAAATGACATCAACCATCCTAGTAAATTCTGGCTCTTACCTTAGGAGCCAAAAACTTGTTTCATGTTTCCTGAGAGAAGATGGGATGCTAAAGACTACTTCCAACTGAGCCTTTTATTCTGCTTGGCCCCACAGGACAGAACAAGGCACAGTGGGTCAAAGTTATGGAGAGGCAGTTGAGTGTACTTTCCCTTTCAATTAGAGCTATCCACAGATCCAGTGAGTTACCAGAAGGTAGTAGTGTTTCCAGTCTTGAAGGTCTTTTAACAGAGGGTAGCTGGCCACTTGTCAGAGATGTTGTAAAGGGGTTTCCTCTTCAGGTGTGGATTAGTTGCTAGAAAACCCCAGAGAGCTCTTCCAGCTCAGAGGTTCTATGATTTCAGTTCATGAGGATAAAAAAGGGTACATAGGCTATTTGGACAGAGGTACCCCAAGTGTGACACACACTGCCAACAAAGCATTGAAGTCTTTGCGATATACTGGTAAGTTTTAACATACTTCACTACATAACAAATAGAGTGTAAAATTTTTATTTTGAATCACGTGGTTGCATTTAAGAAATTAGCCTTAGGGAATCATATGAGAATGGTACAAGAAGCATCCTTTCTCAGGAAAACATGAGATGACAACAGTTCAAATGGATTGTCAGCGCAGAGCATTGGCCCTACCCTTTTCCCAAGATTCTGTTCTCTGGTTTAATTAATGGTTCCTAGGATTTAGAGATGGAAAGGATGTTGGAAATCACTTTTTCAAACATCAAAATAAGTTTTTATGAAGCAAATATAATAATCAGACTCAAGTACTAAAATTGTTCGTTTTGTCCTTCTTCTTTAGGGAATAAGTGTTATTTTTAACGTTGCCCTCGGTTTATTAAAGGTAAGCCTTTCTGTCAAACTTTTATTTCATCCTCGTTCTGTAAACTGTATAGCAATTAGTCTTATCTTAAAGTAAACTTAAACAGCCACCTCCTACATTATGTCAGTGCTTCCACATGTTGGTGTTGCAGTGCCCTAAACTGAAAGAAGAGGTTCTGAGAAAGACTTTTTTGAAAAACATTTATTACGTGTATACTAAGTGCCGTTGTACTTGGTACTAGAAAAATACGAGATTTATCTCAGAAGTCTTAGAGTCTAGTACAGAGATATGACATATACACAGGTAACTATGATATATATTCAGTGTATTAGACAGGTATAAAACCAAGTGCATTTTGATGAGGGGAAACACAGAAGAAGGGTGGCATCAGGAGCCAAGAGGCTTCATGGGAGAAGTAGCATTTGAGTTAAGCTTTGAGGGATGGGTAGGGATTCGATAGCCAAAGAGAAAGGAGGACATTCCAGGCTTAGGGATTGCTCAAGCAAAGACATGAAGAGGGGAAAGCACTAGTTATAGTCACTGTCTTTAGCTTTATTCAAATGCTGCTTGTGTATTTTCACAGCAAATGTTTCTGTGTTTGTATTTGTTTTCTTGCCTTCTTTTTGAAGACTTCCAAGGATGATCTGCTGCTGACAGACTTTGAAGGGGCTTTGAAGTTCTTTCGGGTTCAGCTTCCTAAGCGATATCGCTCTGAAGAAAATGCAAAAAAGCTAATGGAATTAGCTTGCAATATGAAGGTAGAAAGTAATTTATATATTTTAAGTTTTCCTTTCCCTTTCCTCTGCTAGGTTTCACCTAAATGTAGAAGTCTGTGAAACTTCCAAGATAGCACATTGTTACTGAATGTATAATAATGGGATCATAGGATTTAGAGTTGGAAGGAATCCCTAGAGTTTGTCTTATTCAACGCCCTCATTTTTTTACAGATGAGAAAACTGAAGCCCAGAGTTTCTGACTTACCCAAGGTCATATAAGTAGCAAAACCAAGAAGTCCTATATTCATCTCTTACATTTGTGTAACACTTTAATGTTTTTCAAATTGCTTTCACATTCTTACTTAGTTTTCACAACATTTCTGTGCAAACAATTGCTATACTCATTTTGCAAATATGACATAGGAGGGTTCCATATCCAGTCTTCCTCAAACATTTATTGAGCACCTATTCTGGGCCGCACTGTGCTAACTATTGGGGAGGGATCAGTGGAAAATGAAAATGTTCCCTAACCTCGAGGCACTTAAAATCTAGTAAGGGAAGAATAAGATAAGTATGTCAGTAATGTAATACAGGTTGTTTATGAGAGTTCATAGCCAGGAGAAGATCAAGCAGCATGGCTTAAAATGCCCTCCTTTTCTACCTCTCTGAAGAGAAATCAGTGTAAGTGCACACATTAGCCCCTTTTGAATTCCCATTAATTTGAAACCCTTTGATAGTCTTAGTTTCCAAGAAGAATCCAAATGGAAGATGTCCCACCTCACTGTTGTTGGATTTGGATTTAATCCGTGATAGGCAAGCTTGACTCAGGTGTATGGGTTAGACCTGGGTTAGGGCAAGTAAGTAGTTGAAGGCATATGACTTAGAGGTACTTCTTGCTTTGAAAGAGTTATTGTACGAATGAGGAAAATGTCAGGTGAACTGTGTTTCAGTTTGCAGCTTTCATTGAGACAGCATCAAATGTTAGGATTCTCTGTGAAACTGATTTCTATCATGAAAATTTAACAAATTTGATTCAGTGAATATTTATTCAACACCTCCTACTTGTGAAGCAATATCCTACACACTAGGGATACATAGACCAAAAAAAAGAGGAAACATTCCCTACCCTCGAAGAGTTAGAGGATACACCATGAGTATCAGGATGGTGTCAGGAAAATGGAGGAGGAAAAGAGGGGGAAAAGGGTCATGGAGGAAGGCAGCATCTGAACTGAGTCTTAAAGGTGAGGATGAAGTGCGTGCTAAAGGTGGGGAACAGCTCACACAGATACACAGAGAAAGGAGAGGTCCTGTTGAGTTTGGAGAACAACTAGTCCATGTTGTCTGGAATGTAGATTTCCTAATGGGGAGTTGTGTGCAGTAAGGATGAAAAGGTATATGGGAGCCAGATTGCAAGAACATGAAATGCCAGATTGAGGGTTTTACATTTTATCCTTTAAACAGTCAGAGCCATCGAAGCTTTTTGACCATGGGAGTGACTTGTATAGAGGATGCTTTGGAGAAGGGAGAAACTGGAGGCAGGGAAACCAGTTGGGAGGCTATCACAGTAGTGCGGTGTGGTGCTAATGAGGGCCTTGACTAAGGTGGTAGCCATGTGGAGAGACAGAAAAGAAAGGATGTGAGAGGTATCAGGAAAAACTCGTTGACATTTTCTACTTACTGGATATGGTGAGGGATGAGAGAGGAAGAGGAGTTAAGGATGAGTCTGGGATCATTAACCTGAGTGACTGGGAAGATGGGCATACTGTCAGCAGAAGGAAGTTGGAAGGAGGGACAGGCTAAAGGAGAAGATGAGCTCCATTCTAGCCCTGTTGAATCTGAGATCCTGGTTCAACACCCAGAGATGACCAACAGGCATCTTGTAATGCAGTTGCAGTCTAGGAGAAGCTGAAGCTGGATCTCTGCGTATATTTAGAGAAAGAAGTGGACCCTGGGCAGAGCTCTGTGAGACAGGACACCCTCGCTGAGGGGAGAGGGGGCTAAGAACAGTTGGTCAGACAGATGGGAAGAAAGCAGCATCACGGAAATCAGGTCAACCAGGAGACTGATGAGTGAGGTTTCGTGTGAAAAGATCAGATCTTCAGATTTTTAGAGACAGGATATGGAGTGGTGGATTAAACACTAATCTTGGTCAGAAAGCTTTCTTTCTGCTACTATCACTCACTGGTTATATGACTGTAGACAAGTCATTTTCCCTGATAAGAACCCTTTAAAATAGAGACATCTTACTTTTACCACCTTGCTCACAGTGCTGTTGTGAAAGCAATGCAGTGTAAACCATTCTTAATTGTTAATTGTTGGAATAGGACATCTTTATTAGCTACATTTAATACAAAAAAATTTTAGGATAATGTAGGCAATCATTTGGCCATTTGTTAGATTGACTTCCCACACCTCATGCCCCACAGGTCATTGTCCTTCGATAGAAAAATATGACTTAAGGAATCATTCCTATTCTGTATAGATTATTCTCAAGTGACTGGAATTGCATTGGCAGACTTTTTATAAAGTGCTAGTTGTTATCATCATAATTATTATTATGTAATAATAGCTTAAATTTATATAGTGCTTTATGGTTACAAAGCCCTTTAAATGAATTTTCTTATGCGATTCTTACAACAGATGTGTGCATTAGGCACAGTTCTACAGGTAACAGTATCCCTCAGTTCATAGATGAGAAAATTGAGGTTCAGCAAAATGAAATGGCTAGCTCAAAACCACACAGCTAGTGATTGATAGACCTCAGACAGGTCTTTCTTTCCCCTATACTATTCCATATTGCCTCTCAGAAGAAAACTGCAACATTTCCAGGGTACTTGGGGAGGGAGAGAATGAAAGTTGTAACTTCACATCTTTATTTTACCACTAAAATGTCTGTAGTAAAAATGTCTGATAATTTTTTGCCATCTGACTCCCAAAACCCTGAAGCAGTAAGTTGTTCCCCATGTTACAGATGAGAAAGCCAAGGTCCGGAAAGGTTAGACCTAAGTCTTACACAAAATCACATAGGTGAAAACCAATTAAACTGATCCCAAATCCCTTACTCCAATTCAGTACTCTTTACATGGTGCTTTACTTACCTGTGGAAGAATAAATATTGTGTTTAATTTCAAAGAATAGTATATTTAGAGGTTACTCAGTAACCACTTATTTTATCTCTTGAATAAATTCCAAATTCTTCACCTAACATTTTTTAAATCCTAAAGTGCTAAGTGCATGCTATTATTATTTAAAGGATAAGGAGGAGTCTAATTGCTTCCAAGACGAAGGGAAGAGTTAGCCTGGTTTAATGGAAATAGCTGGACTTGGAGTCAGAATATTAAAACCCCAGCTCTGCTACTTTACTATCAAGGTCAGCTTGGAGAAGCATTCCACCCCTTATGTTGTGGATCACTTCTGTGATCCCTCCAAACTCTAAATCTATAATCCTGTGAACAGCATAAGAAGAAACAAGAAGACTAGAAACTAAGGAGCACATTTGAAGTACAGCAAGTCGTCTGATTTGACTGGAACCCAGGGTAAATGAAGAGAAGGAATTTGAGGGGGAAAAAAGTTGAAAAATTAGGTTGGGGGCAAATCGTGGAAGACTTTGAATGTTAGGTGAAGTGTTTATACTTTATTCAGTAGTTAATGGAGAATTAAAGTTTTCTTAGTAACTGTTTGCCATATTTGGTCTCACAGCTCAGGTTAGAACAAAGACCTGAGTTTGAATATTTATGGGAAATTTGGTACTCTGGAAACTAGCACAGGATGAGCATTGCTGCTGTGTGGCACAGCAAGCAGACAAGTATACATACTATATGGCAGTACAACAGAGATTCATCAATGTACACAAGGTCAGAATCAGTCCTATAAGGCAGGGAGATGTGTATTGTGGCAAAAATCTCAGTGGGAGTATACACGTGGAGTAGGGTATCCGCAGGGAAATTTTATACCTTAAAGATGAGCCAGTTTGAGAACAGGTAAATGATGTCAGATAGAGGAAGGGGCATTCCTAATCAGATCAAGAAGTGATAGGGAAATTCCCTGGGTTACTTATCAATACCAGGAGAGTTTTCTGAATGGGACCAGAAATTGGGTTAGGGCTTCCATTGGTAATTAGGGACCCCAGGAATGGGTGTTAGCATGCAGTGTGATCCTCACCCAGTCAGGAGCCATGATCATTTACATGTTTGATAAAGGGTCAGAATAAGTCAGGACAGTGAAAACACACAGGCTGTCAGTCATTGTTGATATATTTATGGCCATCAGAACCACTTAACCTAAGTGATTTCATATTGAAGTCTTTAAACAATGTATTTCCAAAAATAAATCACAATTATCACACCATTAAATATACCAAACTCAGAAATTAAATGCAATATTTATTTTGCCACAAGTAAATATGATGATAACATTTAAGAGGCTTACAAAATTCATTCCCCATGGAAAGTCTGTAAAGTATGTAGTACAAGTATTATTAACACCTTTTAATGGATAAGGAAACTGAGGCTTAGAATGGTTATGTGACATGTCCAGAGTCAAACAGCTGGTAAATTTCAGAGTCAGATTTGAATCCAGGTCTCCTGAGTCCAAGTCCAGCTCTTTCCCCAGTAGTAATCTGAGTAGTCTGGGCTTGACTTCTTTCTCCCTGAGCAAGAAGAGGGTAATTGCTCGGACATAGACATGTACAGAGCTTTCACAAGTCACACCTGAAAGAAACTAGCAAGAAGGCAACCAAAAAGGTCTGGAGCAAATACGTGCTGGCTGCCAAAATCCTAAACTGTTATGTACCACCCATCTCTTTTTTTGTAGTTAGAGTGGGGTATGTCATTCATTTGCTCTAAGCTACAAATCCTCTCCTGTCATAAGAAATCTTTTTCTTTTTATGCATATGTAATTTTGAGCAAAAAAAAAGCCAGGTGTCAAATTTAATCATGTATAAGGGAGGAAGTGTGTGTGTGGGTGTGTGGGTGTCTGTGTGTGTGTGTGTCTGTGTGTGTGTGTGTGATATCAGTGTTTCCCCTTTTGACAGAAGGAATCAG